GCGGGCCTCTCACTGCTGTGGCCTCTCCCGTTGCGGAGCACAGGCTCCGGACGCGCAGGCTCAGTGGCCGTGGCTCATGGGCCCAGCCGCTCCGCGGCACGTGGGATCTTTCCGGACCGGGGCACGAACCCGTGTCCCCTGCATCGGCAGGCGGACTCTCAACCACTGTGCCACCAGGGAAGCCCTATTTATGACTTTTTAAAACTTAATTATTTATTTACTTAAAACATTAAATCATTCTGGGAGCAACTGGAACAACAAGAAAAACATAAAGTGCAGGATCAGGAAACCTAGCACCCACCTCTTGCCATGGTTCCAGGCTCCAGTATACTAAGGCCTACTCATCATTTCTGCTTAGATGTTCGATAGGCATCTCCAGCTTTACATCTCATAACAGAGCTTGTGATTTTTGCTCCTTATCTCGAAACTGGTACCTCCTCCCATGCTCTCCAAATCGGTAAATAGCACCATGGATCACCCAGTTGTGTTAGCCAAACCTGGAGTAGGTATTTTTCATTGATTCCTGTCTTTGATGTACCCCTTCTCTCCCACATCCAGCCTATAAGCAAGTCCTGAAACTCCACCTCCAAAATATATCCTGAATCCAGCCACTTTCCTCCTTTCCACTGCTAACACGCACAGACAGTCCCCAACTTCAACAGTGGTTCAACTTACAATTTTTCGGCTTTAGGATGGTGTGAAAGCAGTATGCATTCAGTAGAAACCGTACTTTGAATTTTGATCTTTTATCAGGCTACTGATTCTGTACAATACTCTCTTGTGATGCTGGGCAGCGGCAGGCAGCCTCAGCTCCCAGTCAATCACGCGATCACAAGGGTAAACAAGCAGTAAACTTATAGCCATTCTGTTTTTCACTTTCAGTACAGTATTCAATAAATGACATGAGCTCGTCAACACTTTATTATAAAATAGGCTTTGTGTTAGATGATTTTGCCCAACTGTAGGCAGGCGTAAGTGTTCTGAGCACGTTTAAGGTAGGCTAGGCTAAGCTATGATGTTCAGTAGGGTAGGTGTATTCAATGCATTTTCGACTTAACGATATCTTCAACTTATTGAAGATACGTTTATTGGGATGTAGGTTGAGGAAGATGTAGTCCAGTCCACCATGATTTCCCTCCTGACTTCTGCCATAGCTCCTTAACTGGTCTCCCTGCTTCTAGCCTTTCAGTCTCTGCTCCACACAGCAACCCAGATGCTCAGATCCTGCACGCCTTGTTCAAACACCTCCAGTGCTTTCCCCAGCACAGAGGACAAACCAAACTCTTAGCATGACCGACCAGGACCTTCCATCTGCTTTCCCTCTCTCCTCTTTGCCCACTGACACAGTGGTCTATAAAAATATACAGTAAAATTTTTTCAATGTATACTCCCATTGTATACACACATATATAGCTGTACATTATACATATATACCACTGTATTTGTTTTATGTGTAATAGAAAACATACAACGTCATAGAAATTACAAAGTATACAATAAAACCAATGGAAAAGAATTCTAATAGTCTCTTCCAACACCCATACTTTGGTACTTTGGTCTTTGGCGTCCCCTGGGTGGGGCACCCCACTTTGGAGACTGCATTTCTGTAGCTACGCTGGCTGACTTTCTGCCACGCGATGAGCTCCTTTCCACCTCAGAGCTTTTACACTCCCTGTTCTCTGTGTTTGGAACGTTCATCCCCCAGATCCTCACATGACTGGTTTCTTTTGTCATTCAAGTCTCAGTTCAAAGATCACTTCCTCAGAGGCCATGTCCACCCTGTACCAAAATTATACCCCCAAGTCATTGACCGTCGCATTATCCTGCTGTACTTTGTTCCTGGTATTTATCGTCTTTGAAGTGATAATGTATTTATCTGTAAACTTATTTATTGTTTGTCTTTGCAGCCAGACTATAGCTCTATGCAGGGCAGTGGCTTTGCCGTTTTGGATACTGTCCCCAGTGTCTGGAACAGTGTCTGGCACATTGGAGGTGCCCAATGCTACATATTTATGTTTTAATAAACCTTGGCATAGCACAATCTCTCTGGCCTCATTGCTCTCATCTATCAATTAAAGGTGTTGGATTCTATGACTTTTAAAATCTTTCCAATTTGAAGTAGAACCTTATTTCTAAATCTCAAATTCCAGAGTGTATGACTTATTCCATTTTGTGTAAACATTAAGTATGGTACCGAACTCAATAAGAATTCATAACGAGAACAGTTAAATGAAATGCACTGAGTAATAATTATTGGAGGCAATCAAGAGTTAAAGGCTCAAGAGGAAATTGGATTTCAATATGCAGGACAAAAGCTGATTAAGGCAATGGTCATAAAAAGAACCGGCATTTCCAGGTTGGAATTAGGAACATCCTTAACACTAATAGTCATGAATGGAATCTGCTGTCAAGAAGAACATCTCCCAAGAGACATTAATTCTCCGCAATGGTTTATTTATCTGTTTAACTATTTTTTCCTCTCAGAGTCAGCACAAGGTAAGGAAAGAGCACAGGCTGGAAGATTTAGGTTCAGTGTTCAGTCCTACCAGATACTAAGCTTTTCTGGTTCTCTGGTTCTTCATGTATAAAAGAGGGTTGATAACTTTATGATGGTTGTTGTGATAAGACCATGAGATGATATATGTGGAGCGCCTCCATGCTTCCCGGCACAGAATAAGTCCCCAATAAATAATTGGTTGACTCAAAAGGATGAATGAATGAAAGCATATTATTTCTCCTTTACTTTCAAAAAGGATTTATATAGTTTACAATAAAAAATACATCCGTAATGTGTGAGTTAAAATAAAGATAAAAGAAATGTCAGCCACTCCTAAGTATATAGCCAAGAGAATTGAAAACATATGTTCACACGAAAACTTGTACATGACCTCACAGCAACATCATAATAACCAAAAAGTGGAAACAACCCATATGTCCATCAACTGATGAATGTGTAAATAAAACGTGGTATAGCCATACAACAGAATATCATTCGGCCATAAAAAACAGAAATACCGATACATGAGAACATATGCTAAGTGAAAGAAATCAGTCACAAAAGACCACATATTGTGTGATTCCACTTATATGAAATATGCAGAAGAGGCAAAATCCACAGAAACAGAAAGTAGATTAATGGTTGCCAGAGTCTGGTGGGAAGACAAAATGTGGAGTGACTGCTTAATGGGTGTGGGGTTTCTTTTTGGAGTGATGAAAATGTTCTGGAATTAGATACTGGTGATGGCTGCACAATTCTGTGAATACACTAAAAACCACTGAATTGTACACTTTAAAATGATTAAAGTGGTGAATTTTATGGTATGTGAATTTTAAAAGAAAGATCATAAACCACATGGAGGACAGGATGGGGGTGGGAACAATTACACCAGAAATCAAAATTTGATATTAATTGCAATTGATTACTTTGATGGTTATACTTGATTTTCCCAAGTATATTAGCCAAAGTAGAAAAGAATGCTTTGATCAGCTAATACAAATACTTTGCAGATACAGCTCTCATACACCACTGGTTCTCCAAGTGTGGGCCCTGACCAGCAGCAGCTCCATCACCTGGAAACTTGTTAGAAACACAGATTTTTGGCAGCACTCCAGACACGCTGAATCAGAAATTCTGGGGATGAGATCCAGTAATTTGTGTTTCAATAAGCCCTCCCAGTTATGTGACATATGCTAATGCTGGAAAATCACCCTCACACAAATGGTAGTTACCAGGCTTATTGATCAGCTGGATTTTTACAAATTAGGCTCATATGAGTTCAATCAGCATAAACCAATACCAGTGCATTCCTAGGGTTAATTATGTTATTATGAGACTACAGGACTGAAATATCGTATCTTGCATCTCATCACATCCAACGTGAAATAGCTATATTTTTCTTGTATATAGTGGGTTTCAATGCTAGCTAGTCTCTGCATACATGCGCCCAGACACCCATTGCTGTATGCCTAGTGCCCTATGCAGGGCAGAACAAAGTAAGCACTCAAGAAATGCTTGAGAAAAAGACAAATATTATATGATACCACTTATATGTGGAATCTAAAAAATAGTACAAATGAACTTATTTACAAAACAGAAACAGACTCACAGACATAGAAAACAAACTTATGGTTACCAAAGGGGAAAGGGAGGGGAGGGATAAATCGGGAGTATGGGATTAACAGATACACACTACATATGTAAAATAAACAAAAGAATTTACTGTATGGCACAGGGAACTATATTCAATATCTTGTAATAAACTATAATGGTTTATATACACACACACACACACACACACACACACACACACACACACACACACACAAACACATACACACACTTCGCTGTACACCTGAAACTAACACAATACTGTAAATCAATTATAGTTCAATTATTTTTTAAAAAAATGCTTGCAAAGAGAAGGCATTCTGAATATATATGTGAGTATGAATAGGATGCCTCTTAATTCATTCACTTAGGACTTCTGAAATATCATACTGAAAGTAAAGATGAAATCTAATAGTCGGAGGAATATTGCCAGTGTCTCTAGCTAATAACTGGAAGAGTTCAAGAACTCACTAAAAGCAACAGAAGGTATTCCAGTTCACCACACCACATTCATGGGATAGGCCATGTATGCAACTGATCAGAAACATGCTAGAGCCACATGCATACATGCCACACTTTTGTTGCACAGGCACACATGTATGTATGCACAATCCCCAAACACACGCAGCGTAGTCAGCACACACACACAGTTGACACTGAGAGCTAGATCTCAGCCCACTCTAACTTATTCTTGGGCCCCATGCCTAAGGCAAAGAACGGTGATTGGTAGGGTGTATGCCAGAAGGAGCCATTACCATCGTTCTCCAGAGACCCGGGTGCACCGTTGTTAAAGATTTGATCCACATGATTCAGTATGAATTCAATCACCACCTGCTGGACCCGAACTGCAAGGAAGGCGGCATCTCCATTGCAACCAGTGGCTTCAATTTCTTTGGACCTGAACCGTGGAAGAAACACATTCAGTGAATGAGTCTGCCCTACCCCATGAAGCATAAGGGGGAGCCAGTGGGCCTTTTGTACAAGCCCCCAGTTCCTAAATGTATAGTTTGTTAATTTGTATTACTTTAACAATTTAAGATCAATTAAAGGGACTCTCCAAACAAACTGAACAAATTTGAAACAGTTACCAGGTATTATACATTGCAAAACTGTAAACACTATATTAGTGAATATATAGGAATTGATTGTTTTCTTCATAGGATCTTCTTCCACCTCCATACAATTGTTCTAAGGGCAGGTCATCATTTATGAAGTCATATGAAGCAGTTGATTCAGGTTATAGACAGCTAGGACCCCACCAAAACCAACAAAAGCAAAAGAAGCCCCAAAGACCCAGGAAGGCCTTTTCAGGAAATTATAACATACAGACCCATAACACTGGCCACATCCTGGTAATAGCCAGAAGATACCTCTGGGTTCCAGAGTCTCCATGGTTAGCAGGCAAGGGCTATTAAAAATCACATTTGGGCTTCCCTGGTGGCACAGTGGTTAAGAATCTGCCTGCCAACGCAGGGGACATGGGTTCGAGCCCTGGTCCAGGAAGATCCCACATGCCGCAGAGCAACAAAGCCCGTGTGCCACAACTACTGAGCCTGCGCTCTAGAGTCTGCGAGCCACAACTACTGAGCCCGTGTGCCACAACTACTGAAACCTGTGCAGCTAGAGCCTGTGCTCTGCAACAAGAGAAAACACCACAATGAGAAGTCCGTGCACCGCAACGAAGAGTAGCCCCCGCTTGCTACGACTAGAGAAAGCCCGCGTGCAGCAACGAAGACCCAGTGCGGCCAAAAATAAAATAAATTTATTAAAAAAAAAAAATTAAAAAAAAAATCACCTTTAATTCCCACATGCGACAACCACTTAGCCAAAGGTTTGTCTACAAGGGGCTTCGGTTTTGAAGAGTCCAGTCTTTGTTTGAATTGGGGGCTGCTTTGAGCTCACTGGGGTAGTGAGGTGAGGGGTGGTGGTTACCTGAGGAGGTTTGGAGCCCACACCAGGGCCAGGTTCCTGGCATGCATGTTTGTCTTGCTGCTGAAGGAGGCGATGTGGGCCAGGTGTCGAATCAGGTATTCCAAGGTCCTGTAACAGTTCATTTTTTAAATAGCAAAGTAAGAAACTTCAGAGCCTGTGTGAAGCCTGAATCTGGAGATAATTTCTAAAGTTTGAGTTTAAGAGACTCTAAAATATTTCTATATTATTCAAAATATCTAAAATACTTCTATCTCATGAATTTTGGAGGACTATCAGGAAGATATCAAGATAGATGGAAGCAATTTTCTTAGCCTCAGGAATACTGGCTGTGGGTGGGTAAGAGGTGGGTTTGACAGAAGTCAGCTGAGGCCCTTGGAGCACCAGCCAGAGACAGAATAGGGGACTCACCCACTATGGAGAACAGTATGGAGGTTCCTTAGAAAACTACAAATAGAACTACCATATGACCCAGCAATCCCACTAGTGGGCATATACCCTGAGAAAACCATAATTCAAAAAGAGTCATGTACCAAAATGTTCATTGCAGCTCTATTTACAATAGCCAGGAGATGGAAGCAACCTAAGTGTCCATCATCGGATGAATGGATAAAGAAGATGTGGCACACACATACAATGGAATATTACTCAGCCATAAAAAGAAATGAAATTGAGCTATTTATAATGAGGTGGATAGACCTAGAGTCTGTCATACAGAGTGAAGTAAGTCAGAGAGAGAGAGACAAATACCGTATGCTAACACATATATATGGAATTTAAGAAAAAAAACTGTCATGAAGAACCTAGGGTTAAGACAGGAATAAAGACACAGCCCTACTAGAGAATGGACTGGAGGATATGCGGAGGGGGAAGGGTAAGCTGGGACAAAGCAAGAGAGTGGCATGGACATATATACACTACCAAGTGTCAAATAGCTAGTGGGAAGCAGCCGCATAGCACAGGGAGGTCAACTCGGTGCTTTGTGACCACCTAGAGGGGTGGGATAGGGAGGGTGGGAGGGAGGGAGACGCAAGAGGGAAGAGATATGGGAACATATGTATATGTATAACTGATTCACTTTGTTAAAAAGCAGAAACTAACACACCATTGTAAAGCAATTATACTCCAATAAAGATGTAAAAAAAAAAAAAAGAATAGGGGACTCACATCACTTGGAGCCTGTGCCTCCTTTCACCCAGCGCAGCATTGCCTCATACTGTCTTGAAACTGGGCCCCATCTCAGCTTCTATTGTAATTCTCGCAACTACAGGTACCCTGGCACTTGTTAGGGAGCTCATTTGATGGATGAATAACATCTGTTATTGCTGGGAAGCCCTTATACCACATCAAAACCTGCCCCCCTGGTAAAAGCTGGGCAGGCTTAGGGAGCAATGGGAAAGGTGGTAGGATTAGGGGCTAAATTGTGAGAATGAAATGAAAGGATGAAATGATGGAAGGGATGGTAGTGATGAGCATACAGACAGATCAGTCAGCCAAACGCTCAAGAGCAGCAGTCAAACCCTGTTTAAGTACCATCTTGGTTTCCATAGATTTGGTTATGTTATGACTCTCGGTAAGAACCTAGACTATCTCTGTGAGGCCGGCTTCTGTGATCACAATGATTCCTGTGGGACTCTGAGGGGTGCTCTGAAAGTAACTTAGACATGGGCTGTCCCTTCCCGCCAATGTCTCTGGTCAGGCACCAACTCACTCTGATAAAAGTGACCTGTTTTCTTCCCTCAACCTGCCCTGGGAAAGCCACTGTCCACTGAATTTGTTCCCTTTTACAATGCTAGCCTGCATCTAAGGTATTACATCACATTGAGAGGCTGTGAATTGCTTTTACCAAGGATTCTTACCTGTAATGGGATGGGGGGAGCTCCTGGATAACATTCTGGATTCGGGCCAGTTGGCCTTCTTCCGGGCAATGGGACACCGCCTCCTGCAGAGAGGAAATGAAGCAGTCCAGTGAGTGCTCGAGAAAGGGGACACCCGCCTGCGTCTGCGGGTTTTATTTCGGCTTCTGGTACTCCAGCCTCCCAACCATGCCTAGAGATTGTCCTTCCAGGAGGCATGCTTTTCTAGAAAAAACAAACCACCTAAAATCTCTGAGGGTACATGATGGGAGGCACACAGGGTCTCTGTGCATCCTCAGATGTTTGGTATGTATCTGGTAAAAAAAAAGGTGTAGAATCTTGGGTGTGTCCCGTGTGGCAGAGAGAGTCACAGAGACTCACACTGGGAGAGAGAAACAGAGACAGGGAGACAGAGTGAGATGGAGATGAGAGGTTGGCTTCCTGTTTACTCAGCCAGCTATGTTTTTGGGTGCAAACAGCCACTCCCCCACCTAGCCTGAGACTATCCCTTGACCCGGCTGCCTGTGGTTGATGCCAGGAAGCAGGAACGACGTGAAGCCGTGCCTTCTCAGCAGGATAAGAGCTTTGCCCCTGAGACCTGGTGGCCTTGTTTGGACTTGCTCTCTGGTTGTTTCCTGTGTGGGTATTTGGTTCCCCCCCTCAGCCCAGGCCCTCAAGGAGAGGCTGGGGCTTCAGTAAAGGCACTGTGGTCACAGTCCTGCCCGGGGCTCCTGCACAACACAGGTGTCCCTGGGCAGAGTCCCCTGTGTCCCGTCCTGAGACTCTGTCCTGCCTGTGCTCAAGCTCAAGGGCCCCTCCCAGTGCAGTGGCTGAGTGCTCAAGACTGACAGCATGGGAGCCATACCTAAGTTCAAGGTCAATGGTAATTACATCTTTTTTTTTTTTTCACTGAGGTATAGTTTACGTATATTAAAAATGTACAAATCTTCGGCTACAGCTCCCTGCGTCCTTTCATATGCGTAATAACTATGTAATCCCACTCAGGTCAAGAGATACTTGAAAAGGGGCTTCTAAGCTCACTTCAATCCTTGTGATCCTGAATTCACAGGCATATGTGACTTACACAGTTTTGTATTTCCTCACAGTGCTGGAAACTTGCTTTGCATTTATATATAATGAAAAGTATAATCAGAAAATATATTCTCTAATTTGAAGATCCTAACTGTGGTGTGGTTTTCTTATGCTGTTAGGTCATTCGCCTAGAACGTGCCTGCCACATAGTAGGCGCTCCCTGTCGATCTGTTGGACTACCCGTGCTCCATTTCCCTAAGGGGGACATCATGCCAGAGCTTTGACCACCAAGTTGTTTTTGTTTGACTTTTTTACTTAATTGAAGTAAAGCATTCACAGAAGCTAACAATTTTCAAAGGCAATCAAAAATTTCTATGTGGGAAAACTAGATTTCATTTCCTAATCAGAAGTGGGGAGAAATTTGGGGCTGGGAGGGTCACAATCACAGGTGTCTCAATCTTCTGGTGGGTTTGCAAGCCTGAGAACAGAGCCGGCATAAGCATGATCTCTGTGGCAATCCTTGCTTTTTGAGACGTGCAGGATGTAGAGGGTGAGGACAAGCATGGGGCCTGGAGTAAACACCTGACACCTCTGCTCTCTTCCTGGGAGCTGTCATTTAGAAAACAGATTTGTGGAGAAGACCCTGATTCCCAAGACAGGGAGAACCTCATAAAGCAAGTGAAGGGAGAGAGCTCAGGGGAAGGAGGGGCAGAGGAATGCGGGTGCGGATCCTCCCACATTCTATCCTGCAAACGGGGAGGAGAGGTAGGCCTCTCTTCCTCTCTCGGCAAAGCTGGGATGAGCTTTGCAAAGCTTTGCACACACACCCTTCCCAAGCCTCCCCCTCTTCCCCCCACTTTCTAAAAATGTGTCTGGGGAAAAAAAGGTGTAGGTCAATTCAACAGCCCTCATGGAAAGTTCCTTTAATATTTTAGGAAGATGTTAGTCACCTTTGTTCTGAGAAGCTGGGCGGGCTCACCCCTGATGCCTGCAGGTCCCGTTTGGGACTGGTGTTCATTTCACTATTTATAGCCCCTCCCCATCGCACCCCAATCCTATTTGGAAGCTCTCTAGATCTTCGTTTTTCTCCCAGAGGGTCTGCTCACTGCAAAGCTATTTTTCGATCTCTTTGTGTTCCCCCACTAGGAGAGCAGAATCCATCAGTGGGGAATTGAGGGAAAGAAAGGAGTTGAAATTTTTCCCACCCCAAATTTTTGCCTGAAAGAGAATTTCACTCAACATTAGCCAAGCCAATCTTGCTAACAGCTAAACCTTAAAAGATCTAGGCTGACTCTGTAACTATTTGTTCTCTTCCAATCAGTATCCCTAAGACCAGCTTCCTGACCTTGGAGGACTCTAGCGAAGGCTGGACTCCAGTCCCCTCTGGCGGGGCCCAGGCTCTACTTTCTTCTGCTTACCTGAATACCACCTCTACCCCTGCCGCCCGGGGAAGGCCCATCACCAGGGGGGACAAACAACCCGTGGCTGTCCCTTCCAACTGCGCGCAGCCGCAACTCAGTTTTTACCCTTTATTTTGTATTAATTATTTAAAAATTATTATAAAGCCACCTTTATTATTTTTAATTATTTTAAGCCGTTAGGTTAAAAAGTAATTCATGCACATGATTTCACAAATGCAAAGCGGGCTTCCCTGGTGGCGCAGTGGTTGAGAGTCCGCCTGCCGATGCAGGGG